GCACTGAGTTGCCGCCATGTGATTGGCTGATTAGAAATTAAGTGTTAACGAGCAGTTGGACAGGTGTACCTAATAAAGTGGCTGGTGAGTGTAGTATCGCAATATATCGGGATATATCGTATCGTGACCCCTCTGTCATGATGTGTATCGTATCGCCAAATTCTTGCCAATACACAGCCCTACTCAGCCAACTGACCTAAAGAAAAAGAAGACAATATTTATTTAGACAATGGTTTCAATGTTTGCAGCCAGCAGGCTGTGTCAAGACAGAAGTGTGTGAAACTAAACAAATGCACAGACTGGCTGAACAATGGCTGGGCTGCACCTCCTAAAGGGTGCAGCCACCATATATCAAATGAAATCAAACAAGCCTCAGTCATCATTACACAATGAGTAACAGTATTTGCATGGCCAGGATTGACACACACGCGCGCGCGCACACACACACACACACACACACACAGGGCTTGGTCAACTCTACTACCATTTGTCATAGAGTTACCAAAACACTTTCCAAAACAGAAGTAAAACGAATTTTTGAGTTTTGACGCCATTTTAGCTTTCCTCTCCTTTTTATTTAAACATTTCGTTTTCTCAGGTAGTTTTGCAACACTGCCTCACATGTTGACACTGTTTGCAAAGAGGTAGTCAGTCATGCACAAAGCGAACAAACTTACTAAACTGGGACAACTAGAAAATGAGGACGAAATAAGAGGCGTAGCATTTAACCACTGGTGCTGAGAACCAGGCTCTAGCAGCCATCTCTTGAAAAAAAAGAAAAAAGAAAAGAGATTATAATAATGCTATGACAGCTGTTGAGCCTGCGAATTACAGCGTTACATGACTGTCAGAAACATTTACCYAAACACCCTTCAAAGTCCTTGAACTTGTCACAGGAAGAGCACAAATACCACTATCTCTGGAGCACACAAGGCAGAAGTAACGATACAACATAAAACAGGTAAACTTCCACTTTATCTACGTCGATGACACAATACCCACGACGCCTTTTCATAATGGAGGTCCCCTCAGTCAGCAAACAGAACATAAAATAAAGTGAASCCCCTGGCCTGTCTGTGAGACAGCTGTTCAAACAAAAATGTGACAAAACCACAAAGGCGCYTCATCAGCTGCATTTTGAAAAGTCCCTGGCGGCGCTCACGTTAACCTGAGCACGTATAAGCAGCTCGAGGCGACGGCATAAACGTCCCGCCGCTGCGCGTTCACGACGGTAGACAATAGGAATGAATCAACAACTTGCCTTTGTTTTCAGAGTACAGTGCGCTCGGCTTTAAATGGRCATTCTTCACGGAAACGGAGAGGACACACACCATGCCAGTGACTCACGGGCGGCAGTGAATGCAGCAAGCGACTTCTGTGCCTTCRAACTTAAAACGCTTTCTCGCTTCTGATTGGTCGAGACCTGGAACAGCGTTGCGTTCACGTGCTCATTGTAAACGCCCTAAATCATAAATAATGACTCACAACGTTGTCAGGAAAAAAAACGCCTTTATATTGAAATTATGTATACTTATACCACGTGTAGGCTATTTAATGTTTTTATGTATATGAGCAGTAAGTGTTCCCTTTCAAACTATGAATAGCTACATGTTTAATACAGTTAGTAGGCCTACTACACAGTTCCTACACGAGTAGCCCTTTTTGTATTTGTGTGTTTATCACAATGCAAACTTGATTGATAATAAAAATGCTGTTAGAAACGTGACAACGCTTTTTACAGTTATTATGGACGTTTAAAATGGTCATAATAACTGTGTCGTTACAATGTAATGTTGCAGCGCACCCTACTGTTCAAAGAACGCATTGTGCATATATAGATAGATAGATAGATAGATAGATAGATAGATAGATAGATAGATAGATAGATAGATAGATAGATAGATAGATAGATAGATAGATAGATNTAGATAGATAGATAGATAGATAGATAGATAGATAGATAGATAGATAGATAGATAGATAGATAGATAGATAGATAGATAGATAGATAGATAGATTATACAAAAAATAGTTTACATGTTTTATGTATCTGAGTGACACAACTGAATGAGTTCTGTCCAATTTTTGTATTGATCATGAAAACATATAAACTGTTTTACAATGAGAAATTGTGTAGATTACTTATTAACTATTCACTCAGACACATGCACAGATTCTCTCTCACACAAACACATAGATGATAGAATGTGGAATGCATCATTWGAATTGTTTGAATCTGTTTATTTTTCATTTCAGAAATAACAAAAAAATTATTTCAGATTTGTGTTTTTGTATTTTGTATTCATTCTTTCATAAAGAATACATGTAATTCAACATTGAAAACTGTTTGAATCCCATTTTCTTTACTTCAGGTTAATTGGGTAACACCAGGCCGACCTGTAACACAAACAATGAAATATTAATGGCTTGAAACCATTACAATCCTCTACTACAATCCCCAAGGCAGAAAATGTTGTACCAGTATGAAAAGCTGCAAACAAATCTCTGATATTTACATGTATATTGCCTTTTATTTAATTTCAGATAGTATGAACCAAATTGTTTTCAAATGTTGTCTCATCAGCCTCATGTCATATGTAACATTTATACATTGGTACATTTTAGACATACATTTTTCCAATACTAAAAGGATTAGGAACGATTTAGAGCTAAATACTGAGAAATTATTATTTCAAAGCCCAACATGGGAACTTATGATCTTCCACCCTTTAGATGCTTCATCATTTCACTCTCACTGAACATGACTGTTAGGCTAATTGCTGACTCTAAGTTGTCTTTAAGTGTGAGTGAGAGAGTGAATGGTTGTTTGTCTCTATGTGACCCTGTGATGGACTGGAGACCTGTCCAGGATGTAACCTGCCCCTCGCAGAGTAACTGTTGGATATGGGCACATGTAACCCCCCGAGACCCTGAAAGGAAGAAGAGGTTTAAGATGAAGGATGGATGGATGGATGGATGGATGGATGGATGGATGGTCAGAAAAATGGATGGATGGATGGATGGACGGATGGATGGATAGATGGACAGAAAAATTGATGGATGGATGATGGATGGATGATGGATGGACAGAAAGTTGGATGGATGGATGGATGATGGATTGACAGAAAAATGGATGGATGGATGATGGATGGATGCTGGATGGACAGAAAGTTGGATGGATGGATGGATGATGGATGGACAGAAAGTTGGATGAATGGATGGATGATGGATGGATAGATGGACAGAAAAATCGATGGATGGATGATGGATGGATGCTGGATGGACAGAAAGTTGGATGGATGGATGGATGATGGATGGACAGAAAAATGGATGGATGGATGGATGGACGGATGGATGGATAGATGGACAGAAAAATTGATGGATGGATGATGGATGGATGCTGGATGGACAGAAAGTTGGATGAATGGATGGATGATGGATGGATAGATGGACAGAAAAATCGATGGATGGATGATGGATGGATGCTGGATGGACAGAAAGTTGGATGGATGGATGGATGGATGGATTGAATGAAAATATACTGTAGATTATGTGGTTTCTGTTCTATGAGTGACAAAAATCTACTAGATTATTAGTAAATAAAAATCGATCTGGATACGGGTTTTTATCAATACAATTGCTTGTTTATACTTATGTGACAATAAGTGTGGAAGAGTCTGCTGACTTTTTAGAGCAACATATATTCATACATTTTACAGCAAAATTTCTGCTGCAGACTAAGAAAGTTCGGACACTGTTCTGTTGTATGTGTTGTTATGTCTGCTCAGTTTGATTTTAGGTCACTGTGCCATACACGGCCTTCCAGTCATGATGAGACTGGTGGTTCTAAGCTTTGTTCAAATGTTAGGTTAGACCAGGGGTGCCCAAAAATTTTCCCAGAGAGGACCAAAATGAAAATCTATCAGGGGCTGCGGGCCAAATGCAGTAATACATGAAATGCAAATACTTTAAGTAAAGTCCTTTATTTTTGAACGATTAAGCTAGCAGCCAGTGCAATGGCCCTCATGTGTTTTAGTCTGCGCACTTAGAGAAAGCCTGTCAAATGCTCAAATAGCAAAGGCTCATGGGACATTTCATAAATTGATAAAATACGAGGTTTTGTGGCCTTAAAATGTGTGCAAATCTACATGTGGAGTTCAATCTGATCTAAATATATCTTGTTGTTACTTCATGTTTCATGTTTATTCCTAATATATCAAAGACAAGTCAGCACCGTAATTGAAAACTACCTGCACTACAGCCCTTTAYATAGTCATTTGACCAATGGAAACACTGTGTTTCTACATAGGATGAGAGGTTACAACCATGTAACTTTGGCAACTGTTGGTGGGCAAAATCAAATGGCTTGGTGGGCCAAATTTGGCCCGCAGGCCCCACTTTGGGCCCCTCTGGGTTAGACAAATTCTACACTGGAAATTATCTCATCTTTGAGATTTTCGGCTTGACATTTCTTTGTAAGAAATTGTTACAAATCAACAAGCTGGGTTTATTCCTGTCYTGTATCTGTTTTTTTTTTAACGATAGTCTGAAATGACTGCAGTTTTGACTTCTTCCTGAAGGCCCTGTCACACTAAACAACGTATGCCAACTTATGAACATTTTAAAGACAACTACATTGAAGATGGAATTGAGAAAATCAACAAGAAGCTTCTTTTCGGCATGTATATAAAGTAGCTTGATCAAATTGATCAAATATAGAACTTTTAGCAATTTAAACATAAAAAATTATCATAAGTTGTCATAAGTTGTCTAGTGTGACAGGGCCTTAACCTGAAATGTAGGCTTAACAAACTTCAAAACTAAAAAGTTGAATATAAAAAAACCCCAGCACTGTTGCACACATTAAAGGGATGATTCAGGTGTTTCGAAGTGGGGTATAGGGTATGGACAGTTAATATCTTACCAGTTGTAACTCTTCAGTTGACAAGACAAAACATGAAATTTCTTGTTTCGTACTGTTTTGTAACATGAGTCAAAATAACTGCTGTTTGAAGGTTGCATTCTCCCAGACTGTCCAAACTTTTCTGATTTAGGTTCATGTAAACGTTTCTGCCGACCCAAACTCCTCAGTTACATAAAGAATTTTGACAGTTTCCAAGATTTCCGCAGCGCCAGGCTCCATCGTTAGAGCAGCAGGGTATAAAAGCCCTCTGAGTACACAGACTTGTCAAGTGGAGAGATTACTTTGATGAGTACCTTGTCGGGGCTCATGAGGGGACACATCCAGTTGTACAAGTAGTAATGAACTCTCTTGTCACTGATAGTGAACTTGAGCTTCTCCAGAAAACTCGTGTTGTTCATCACGTCCAGTGCACAGAAAACATCACAGCCTTTCTGATGGAGAGAAAGGAGAACAGTGCAGTTACCTTCACAGGAAGAGCAAAGGTAATTCAAACTGAACTGCTGGTTTAAAGGTCACAAAATTAAAATTTATAACATTACTCTTGATTTGAATGCTAATGAAAGCACTAGCATTCCTTGAGATTATTATTGTCTGCCAGCTTTCATGCCAGTGTTTAAAAAAATCATCTTATGATGAAAGAAAAAACAGAATTATAGTTGTTTTGACCAAATTATATTAAGCACATTATGCATTATCTCATATCAAGTCCATTGGAACATCGATACAGTTCTCCTCTTTACGGCTGTGAGCATCACCTCAAAAGATTTGAAATAAAACAAATAAGAATAGCTTTAACTGCAGACTTTCAGCTTTAATTTGAAGGTATTTACATCCAAATCAGGTGAACGGTGAACAAATTGGCACAGTTTGTAGATGTGCCTCGCACTTTTTAATGGACCGAACATACTGTAATGGGACGACTGGCTGCTCGGCTGTTCTCTGGCAGGTGTGTGTCGTTCACTTAKTATCCCGTTTACAAGGCGCAGATAAAAGGTCTAGAGTTCATTTCAAGTGTGGAGGGGGCATTTGGAATCTCTTGCTGATTTTTTTCTAAATGAGATCCAAAAAGCGGTCTGTCAGTAAAGTGAGAATTGCATCAATGTCCCAAAATTTATGGACCWGACTTCTCAGTATATGTAAAACAGGCTGAGTTTTTTCTGATTATTGTAAACGTACACCCAAAGCATATATTATCATGACTATCTACGCAGTGGTTCATGARATTTTTTTYAAGCAGACATTAACTCCAATACTTATTGACAAATTTTTAAAGAAATGTTTTGCCTTGATCGGTTGGTGCATGGAGTTGGGAATGATGTTCCACGATGATTAAACTTGATTTTTCTTGTCAATTTTCATCTTATTTGTGTAAACATTTAACTCTATATGTTTCGCCACTTACAGATTTAGCGAGGACCAATGCGTCCTCCATGAGGTCAGCCAGCTCTGTTGCAGTAGAGGCGATGTAGAACAGGTAAGCTGCTCTGAYGCTCGTGTGGACCGGATGGTTCAGCACTCTGAAGGAGACGCTGTAGAAGCTCACCACGTCTGTCAGAACGCTGCCGTCTCGCTGTGCGTGAGGAGGGAAGATCAATCCGTTTTCAGACATGACAGAACAGCATCAGTGAAAGTGCTTAAGCATCTGTTCAATAAAACTTAAAAGCAGAAACACAGTGAGGTCCAACCTCCACCACGTAGGTGTCGTTCCCATYCTCCCTCGGCACGAACCAGTGCTCTACTTCCTGCAGAGATAAGAGGGGGCTGAGGTGAAACTTGCTGAGGTCTTTCTGAAGTAGTGAGAGGATCCCTGGAGCATCTTCTTTGATCATAGGGCGCAGTCCTTGCACCTTTGTAACCTTGGAAAAGAGAAAAAAAAAACATGGTGGAAAGAAAAAAAAACACCTTTTCAAAAATGCAGTGCAAGTTTCTYGCTTAAATCAATATTTACTGTCTTTTCTTCCAAAAACATGTATGTGTGAACAGTAATAACTCTTTGTCTCCAGATGGCAGCACACACTAACCTCGGGCAAACGGTTGAACTTGAGGGCTCGCTGAAGATTCATGGTCTGTCTCAGACCCGGGAAGTTGACCTCTATTAGCTTGCGAGGATTCAAGGGGCGATGCCACAAACTAAAAGGATTAGTTTAGTGTTACTTTTTTTTAAAGATGTGTTGCTGCCAGACGATTTAAAATGACCTTTTTCTCTATTGCCTTCTGTTGTGAATAATAGCTAGATTTTGAAAATCATTGCTTTCTATTTTTCATTTACAACATCTTTTTCAGAGTCGTGGTTGTAAATATGACTCCCACTACCTGCAGGAGCTCAGTGGTGTGGGCAGCACCGTCTCAGCTGTGTACATAGCCTGGTGGAAACCCTGCCGGTTGACCCGCCTGGTGAGCTCCCGGATCAGAACCGGAGTCATGCGTTTGAGGCGAAGCTTCTTATGGACACAAAGGAATTTGACTTGCACCAACTGCTTCTTCCTGCATGACAAAGTTCAGGCCTTTAGCCTTGAGCTTAGCCTGGCAGATGAATTGCATGCAACTACTGACACCGCTCATCAGATTTTGCATTTATATATTTGTATATATTTTTTACTTTTCTTTTACACAAACAGTAGTTTTGGACATATTTACCAGCTACTCACGTCTCATAAATGCAAACCTCGGCAGGAACGGCGGCAATGAAGCTGACCAACTTCTTATTGCCCTCTACTCTCACACCCAAGTGCCACTGGGGCTGCCGGTTTGGAGGCTGTAAAGCCCTTTAAAAGGAGAAAAATACCTCTATTAGTGTCTCTAAATCACATATTTTTTTAAAATCACATTAAAACATTTTCTTATCTTCATGAAACAAATGTTTAAAAAAATTCTAAGTACTGAAAATCCATAACTCAGATGTATCTTTTTGGTGCGCACCATTGAAGATACTCCAGAGAGAAGTCAAATCTGACGGTGTTGTCATCTTCTTCCATGTAGTTCTCATTTAGGAAAGTACACAGCTCTCTCAACTGAAATAGGAAACAAAAGCATATATTTAAATGAGAACACATTTCCTGTTGAGTTTTAATTTCTTGGGTTTGAGTCGAGTTGACCGACGTATTTGGTGAGTAGCAGAGCTGAAACATGAAGTTAATTATTGCTGCAGGCAGGACGAGCGTTGCTGACAGGCATTCGTGTTTCAGGTAAAACAGTCACAGCTTTTTTTTTAAAACAGTCTTAGTGGTCAAACGGAGGAGCACGGCAAACAAATCTTGCACATGTCTACTCCACTCCACTTTTACAATTTTAACCTAATGGCCGTTTGCCTCTAGGAGCTGGAAAATCCGACACTTCCTATTAATGAAGTCTTCAAATTTGGCATTTTCAGAAATCGAAGCTGAGCTTGATTATATCTGTTGTCATGCAAAGGCTACACAAACGGGGTTGACTGATAATGAAACGACTGATTTCAGCTGAACCATAACTTACCACCGAGGGGCTGCTCAGGTCAAGCGTATCCCAGGTGAAACCCTGAGGGAGGGTGTAGGGCTCTTTTCGAGCACTGGTTTCAACCTCTGCTATTGGGCCGTGAGTTGTGATGTTGTCACCTGAATAAGAAATAGTTAATCAAAAAGAAAAATAAGTTGGTCCTCTGGATGGGTTCTTCTTTAGTGAAATGTTTTGTCTCTCCTCCAAGAGACTTCTTCAGTCTGATGAGTTTCAGGTGAACTCAGCCTTATAAGCACTGCCTCCACATGGACAAACAGGTTAGTCACATGCAAAAGAGGGCCATCGCTTAACAATAGGCTTGACACAGCATCCAAACCTTTCAGGTGCTGGGGCACACGATCCTCTATGAACAGTAGAGCTAATCAAGCCTATTGTTAGTCGATGGCCCTCTTTTGCATGTGACTAACCTGTTTGTCCAAGTGGAGGCAGTGCTTATAAGGCTGAGTTCACCTGAAACTCATCAGACTGAAGAAGTCTCTTGGACGAGAGACAAAACATTTCACTAAAGAAGAGCCCATCCAGAGG